GCAAACGAGTAGACCTAAAATTAAAGGCAAAGGGTAAACTCTTCTTCCTCCATCTTTGCCTGGTTTTACCTGAAAAATTACTCATTTTCGCTAAACTCTATTGAGTAGATAAATGCAGCGCAATTGCAGCAAGTACTTCTATCTCCATTAGACGTAACATTAGAGGCAAACACTACGTAATGGAGAGTAAACGACATAGAATGGCAAAATGAATTTATTAATTCATATACACACCATTTAAATTAAGAAACAATGAAAAATTAATAATAAATGCAACATGTAAAATATTCAATCATATTAAAGTATTTTAACACAATTCTGTTAGTTTTCGCCGCGCATTTGACAACTTTTTCTTTATCAATTTTACCCTTTTATTTTTTGGTGTTCCGCGATAGATAGATAATGATTTATTTCCGATACAAGTACATAATACAATAAGCATGAGCAAATAACAATAAGCAAAAAAATGTATACGGAAGGGGACGGGCAAGACTTCCAAGGTCAACAAGGTCGACCGACCCCTAAGGTAAGATTCTACCAAGACAGGACACTCTAAAGCAGGCATCATAATTACAATAGAAGAAATATAAATTTTTGAGTTTTAAGCCCCGGTTAGGGGGCCCCGGAAATCAATTCCCTGAAAGTATTGGAATAGAAATAAAAATTACAAGGAACAAGAACATCACATGATTACGCAGATCATGTTTTTAATAGTAATTAAAAATGCGAGAAAGAATAAGAAGGGCGTCGGGCTAATTACAATTAATTATACTTTATGTTAGACAAGAATCAAATCGTGAGAATGAGGCAATTTCTATGAATAGATGAAAAATTAAAAATACCATACTTCCCAAGCTATATAGTACATATAATTATTACTTCAGACTATATATAATAGTATCTTCAATAATTTTCACAAAGACATATGAAGAATCCATATATAAGATTGTGAATTCCTATCCATTTTATAAATCTGATAGCATACACTGAGATGTGCATGATATTGCATCATATTATGATCCGCTGAAATGCTGTTTTAATTTGCAAATAGGGTGGTATCAATCAAAGATTGAAAATTACAAGAAAAAAGAACATCGCATGATTATGCAGGTTATACTTTTTTTTAATAGTAAATAAAATGCGAAAAGAAGTGAAAAATTAAGAAGGACGTAAGCCTAATTATAATTTCCTCAAATTTAATTTTACTTTATGTTCGACAAAAATCAAATAGTGAAAATGAGGAAATGAGGCAGTTTCTATGAATGGGTGAAAAATTTAAAATACCATATTTCCAAAGCTATATAGTACATATGAACACTTCAGACTATATATAATAGTATCTTCAATAATTTTCACAGAGACATACATCTATAAAATGGTGATTTCCTATCCATTTTATGAATCTGATAGCATACACTGAGATTTGAACGTCACTGCATCACATTATAATCCGCTAATAAATGTTGTTTTAGTTTGCGATCAAATAATTGTGGGGAACACTGTTTCATACTCTGTGGAATACTTTGCCATACATTAATACCTTCCAGCTTGAGCGATTTCTTCATGCATGAAGATATATATCGCGGGGTGAAATACAATTTATTTAATGTACTCCTGGTCTCATACGGATGGATATGTGAAGTTTTGACAAAAAAGTTTTGAAAATACTCTGGCAGCAGCACATTTTCATAACGATACATAAATTTTCCCACTTCACTTATGTAGAGTTCTTTCAATTGAAGAAATTCACAATGATGATACAGTTTTGCATTATTTATACGTATTTTTCTAGATGACTCTCGGTACATCATACATCTAATCATCTTATTTTGTAAAACGGCAAGGGGTCTTAAAGCAGTTTTTGTCGCATTACCCCAACATAATATACCATATCGAAGATGTGAAAAGGCCAGGCTATTATAAACTATTTTAAGGGTTTCAAGATTTACAAATCTCCTTAATTTATAAAGCATTCCAAGTGATTGAGAAAGTTTTTTTGAAAGGTAATCTATGTGATTTTTCCAATTAAGTTTTTCATCCAGAACTATTCCCAAATATTTTATAGTACTTGTTCTTTCCAAGCTAATTGTGCCAACTTCTAATTTAAAGTTTTCAAACCTTATATTTTTCCCAGACCCAAAAACCATGAATTTTGTTTTCGAATAGTTAAGCGACAATTTATTTAGTTTCAACCAATGGTCAATTTGCTTTATTTTCAAATTCATTGCATGTTGGAGATCTACAATATTTGTGGCAGAGTCAAGCAGAGCTGTATCATCAGCGAATAGTGTGGTATCGAACGCACTGGTAGTAGGAAGGTCATTGATGTAGACTAAAAATAGTAGGGGACCAAGAGTGCTACCTTGTGGGACTCCACAAGATACATATTGAAGGGAAGATTTGTAACCATTCGATTCAATGAATTGATGACGCTTCGTTAAATAAGATCGAATTAGATTAAGTGGCAATCCACGTATGCCATAATGGGACAATTTGTATAATAAAATAATGTGGTCAACCGTATCGAATGCCTTTGCCAAATCTAGGAAAATAGCACAAGTTACTTTATTATCTGATAAATTATTCAATAGGATAGGATAGGATAGGATTTACATATTTATCCCGGGGGAGAGGAAAGCCGATAAGACGGCTTATCCATATGGCGAACCACGGCCTCTCGTCCGGTTACCATTCCAAGTCGGGTTTGGGATTAGATTTACTGTATTGTTTGTTTTCGGAAGCATGGACTTGGTGGTGGAGGAAGCCGTAACCGACCAGCGGTTACGTGAACCACCCAACGACGGCGAGGAGTCCAGCAATCCTCTCGCACATAACCATCCCTGTATGGGATTCGAACCTGCGAACCCACGCAGAGTAGTTAGAGGTGCGGTGGCGAGCGTATTCCTAACGCTTAGCCCGTTGAGCCACACCGCCGCCAATATTGATTCTTTTAGTTTGACTACAGCAAGCTCTGTAGAATGTGCATTTCGGAAACCAAATTGGGAGTTACTGATAATTTCATTAGTATCAAAAAAGTTTATCAGTCTTTTATACAAGGCTTTATCAATGACTTTTACATTGAAGGCGAGATAAAAAGTGGAAGTGTACCGTGGCCGAAAAAGTTTGGGAAACGCTGGTCTAGATCCTTGCTGTTATATCAAATTAACAGACATCTCAAGCTGAACACGTAACCTACTTATCTATTATGTTTGGAGTCAGGTTAATATCTAACTAGTTCAATTAGTAGTTAGAACAGTAGTATTCTTATTCTAACGTATTTTTTGAAACATTTTGGATCATATTCAGAAGCTAAATATATCGGAAATATCGGTCTACATTTAGCCGATACCGATACACTACCCATCCCGAAAATTTGGCCGATATTGACGATACCAATACATCGGTACATCTCTACTAAGCAATGCTATACCCGGATTCGTTGTATCTAATTTCGTCTGCTGTTGGGAGAAAAAGAAACAAAAACGACACGCTCTCTTCAGCTCTTTGTTTATTGCGCTAGTTTACAAACGCTTTGGCCCAGCGTCCAGCTATTTTTAGATTCAGCGTACGTAATGTCAGAATGTGAGCGTCTTTGGGCAAGCACAGGCAGGCTGAGAGTTGGTCGAGGTACCTGATTTAGTGTGGTGCAATAGTGTTATAGTTCATTGGCGGGTTAGTATATAAATGTTTCTGTTCAATTTGAATTCCTAGTACAGTAGTACTTTCTCTGTTACTTACAGTTACAGGGGAAGTTACTATGACAGTATGAACTGATCAGCAGATTGAATTTATTTCACCACAGCCGGGACAGACAGCTGGACAGTCTTGACCAGCTCATTAACCTTGGCGATATACCGGTACGGGTACTGATATAAGTTAGGTACGGTAACTACTGAACTCAGGAACTACCTTTAGGTTCACACTATTGCTGATTTTGGCTGTATGGAGTCGAAATAAAGTTATTATTATTAGGATAGGAACCATACATATTTATCCCGGGGGAGAGAAAAGCCCATAAGACGGCTTATCCATATGGCGAACCAAGGCCTCTCGTCCGGTTACCATTCCAAGTCGGGTATGGGATTAGTTATTTTGTTTGTTTTCAGAAGCATGGACTTGGTGGTGGAGGAAGCCGTACCGGTAACCGACCAGCAGTTACGTGAACCACCCAACGACGGCGAGGAGTCCAGTAATCCTCTCGCACATGACATAACCATCCCTGCATGGGATTCGAACCTGGGAACCCACGCAGAGTAATTAGAGGTGCGGTGGCGAGCGTATTCCTGTATTCCTAACGCTTAGCCCGTTGAGCCACACCGCCGCGCCAGTTAGTATATCTACCTGTAGTCTATACGGTACCAGTACCTTTCTGTCTGTATACAGAATATGGATGCTGCAGTATAGTCGCTTTTCAATTTTTTTCATAACATTCCAACACTCTAGTACGGTACTGCTATAATGAACACACTAACATCAGCGATCTCTCCCTCATCGCTATCATTATGTCACTGCGAGTTCGCAGTGATGTAAAATCAGGATACCCTAACCCCAAATCCATCAAAACTGTATCCATGAGAAAAACGTTCCAACCTTCCAACCCAATATTTGTCACCATAAGGGACAGCCCTATCTTTACGGCCCACCTGCCGCGGTTACGGCAGCAACATTTTACCTGCCATTGGTTTTCAATTTGCTGCAGCGGTAACGGCAGCTCGACATTTGTTTGTGGCAGCTAAAAAGTCAGTCGCCATACAGCCATAGGTTCGGCCGTAGCGGCCATGGTTTTGCGGCAGCTGCAGACGCCACAGAATAGCCTACTTAAAACTGCACTTGTGGCAGGGTGGGGTTTTAGGTATGACATATGCAAAAAATTGTTGAAGCCAGGCCAACTGGAAGTGCTTGAGGTGTGTACTTCCTGACTTCAGAAGACCCATATTTACCATCAACTGATCAACAGTGATCAAGGTAACTCTGTAACTACAGAATTATTAGACTGTAAAATTGTGATATGTTTTTTTGGCTTATAGGATTATTCAATTAGCTACTGATAGTAACATAGGAAAACAGGGAAAAGAATGAAATTTTAATGTAATATTCATCGTGAAGATTCAAAACAACACAACATTAGCTGAATATTATGGAACAAAGGACACAATAATGAATATATAACTAATTTGATTGCTAGTGTCAAGCAGCTGCTTGGCGAGTTGAAAAAATATAAAAATGCCTGAGACAAATTGCAAAGAGACGAATACGAATGATAGTATTGATCCACAAAAACATTTTGATTGTGATATTAAATCTGCAATAAAGTCCAAACATAAAAAGCATAACAATATAGAAGTCGGGGAAAGCTCAACCGAAAAAGAAATGGATGTAAATTTGCCTCCTGAGGTAAATTCCTTGTTTTGTTTTAATATTTAATATGGTACTATTTTAAAATTACCGGTAGACTATTAATTTTGATATTTAGTAGGTATATATAATAGTTGAAATTCGCAAATCTGTCATATTACTGTATTGGAGTATGGTACATATTGTTATACGGTTATAAGAGTTGCCAACAGAAAATGAACTTGATTATGATTATTAAATTAAAAAAAAAAAACTTTAGGTTTTCAGGTTTTTGCTGAAAAATAAGAATCAAATGTTTTTAAAAGCATTTTCTGGCATCTTTGAACAATTCAAGTGTATGTGTCCTTGTCTTGTATCATGTATGTTTTTGATTACTTTAGCCAACAACTTCAAGACCTTCATTTTGCTGGTTATTTTGTCAAATTAAACCAATTTGCATTTAACAGGAGGAAGAAGGAAACGTGGAGTACAAGTTGAAGCTCCTGAATCCAACTGCTTTTCGAATAGAACATCTGATAACACAAATGAAATGGAGGCTGCAGGAAGGACAGGGAGAAGCAATTTATAAAATAGGAGTTGAAGACAATGGTATTTGTGCTGGATTGACTAGTGATGAAATGAAACAAACCAGGGAAACGTTGAATCAAAATGGCCGTCAAGGTAAAATTTCAGAAAAAATGATGTAAGCCAATTTAGTAATTAGCATGTTGGTCTATTTATATGAGTGTCAATCAAAGTTATAGATAGTATATTGATCAGCTAAAGAGTATTTTAAACCAGATAAGAATTATGAATGTAGTGTTGGACTTGAAAGATTTTTAACCTTTACAGTACTTTATCTTCAAGTGGGCTTGTGTCAGGTGACTCAGGTTCATATATGGCTGGTTATTAATTGTGTGAAGAAAAAAAGGGCAATGAGCGCATTGACGCGGGTGTATAAATCCATATAATCCATAACACATTGGCCGAGCCTATATTTGGGAAACCGATTTTTTTATACTTGTGTATGGTCGTCCATGCATTTGAAATATTTACCGTATGCAGCATTTATAATACTTCATATACAGTTGTACCTACAAAAAAATGAATGCTCCCGAGCAATATTGAAATCGATTATATAAATTATTACATCTTGATCTTGTGGTTTAATTTTTTTGTTCGTTTTTATTCTTATCATCAATATATTCGATTTAGGTTGGGTGCCGATCTTTCAGTGCTTCGTGAGAGAGAAGTTGATTGCGAAGCTCTCGGAGAGAGAAGACTATCGCTGAAGTTCTCGTTAGAAAAGTTCTCGATCCCCACCAGGTAAAAAAGAAAATCATTAATGCACAATTTTTTGCTTTTTGTCGTTTGATATTTATTCTCATAAATGTGCTTGGAGTAAGTATATGTAATAGTGTTGTCTCACTGTTGGCTGTTGCTATTCGTTAATTGAGGCTAAATTTTTATCTTAAATTGATTATTGCACCGTCCATGGTAAGAACAAAATTTTCAATATTCTTGTTTGTGAAGCTCAATGGAAACATAATTTCTGCGTTTGACTCTATCTATATTCCCATCAATATATATCCTACTAAGATTATTTTTTTTTTTTTTTTTTGATAATTTGTGCCCTAAAAGAATATTATGGTAAATGAAAGAGTGTCATAGGCCTTACACATTTGTGGTAGTTTCAATTTTAATAGAGTTTCCTCAATCTATTACTATGAGGAAGTGATACAGTGCAGTATGAGGAAATAGTGTATCATCAATGACAATTCAGTATGATTCAGTGTTCCAGCTATCATCGGATGACTATTCAATGTACGCTAGTTTTCGTCATTCTTTTGCATCACAGATAAATGACTTAATTAATTCTAAATTTCATGATCATTTCCTTTTTATTCATTCTTGTCAGAAATTTAAAACTCAAATAATTATTTGAATTGATCAAGAGCTCGATTCTTGCTTAGAATAGTTATCTCAATCTTTCTAAAGCATCTTGCATTATATGCATACAGACGCCAGGAGCATAGAAGGAAATAAATAGTTAGGCCGCAGAAACCCAATCAATGGCACAAGATTAAAAAGTATTACGTACCTATTATATCATGTACAAATTATGCGATTGTTATGAATACAATACAAATTAAAATTTTTTGAAGTTTTGCAAACTGCAACCTGCTAATGCCATTGTTTCGAGGCTGGCTATAAAAAACTAATTATATTTAATTCACAATTATTTTTTTAATATATATTTTTAAAAATTAATTCAAGATTACTACCATTTGTTTTTTTGCCTGATCTTCGTATCGTCATTCTTCATGTGAGTTATTCAATCAGCTATGTGTAATGTGTATGATATCATTTGAGTGTTGCAGACAATCTTTATTCAATTATGTTATAACTATAGCCATGATTTTTTAACACCTCTGCTGATTGTGTCTCATTGCGAAGTGATAATTAGTATATTGGGTCAACATATCACCTTTGTTTTGAAGCAAGATTATCCAATATTACTGAATACAAAAACCATTGTTTACGAAAAATATCTGAATTAATTATGAAACGTCGCTAGTTTTGCACATACACTGTATGGCAATGTATTTTTTGCTCTACGTATCATGAACATCTCCAAATATCTGTGCTCTTGTTTTGAAAAAGTTTGTATTTTGTTATCTTCTGCAAAGAAGGTAATATTATACCCGCCTGAAGTCTTTGTGTTATGGTAGGCGTTGACTGGTGTGTTTACCTGTCATTCATTCAATCATTGATGACCTTACGTATTTGTGCATATTTGCTCAAGTCTGAGGTATTTTTATTGTGAAAGTGATCCGTTCTTACATCATTCTTTAATAATATATTATATTTGTCATATTAGCATTGTCGTTAATCATGAATCTTGTTGCCAGATATATCAGTCAGACAATGAAATTAGTTATTTGCTATTATAAACTATTTGTCACCAAATAACATTCTAAACCATATACTATTGTCTACTTCTTCACTTGTAAATATGACTAATTTTGCAATTGCGCAAAAATTGATTATATATTTATATATATTTAGAATATATATTTGTTATTTATATTCGTATAGATAGGAACAAAGGTGGTTAAAACTGAGAATTTGATTTGTGAAAAAAGTGTTCTTGAATATGAAATATAAATCATATTTTTGACTGCTTCAACTATATACCTTTTCATGTATGTATGTGATTCGGGAAAGTCACTTTCTATTAAGAATTAGATTTACCCTTTGATAGATCAATAGCCTACAGTTTACAGAATGCAATAAGGGAAGGCAATCAATTTTGATCCCTGGCATTGATAAATTATTTATTATCTGTCATTTTCACGAACCATTGACTGATTTGTCTCTTATGAGTTCGGTATTGATTCTCTAGTTACATATCTACATTATTTATTTTTTTTGTTAATAATATCAGAAACGTCCTACCTTTTCATATATTGATTTTGTTTAGTTTTCTGTTTTTTTATTTGTTTACTGATTTTTAAATAATACATCCAACTTGAAATACAAGGTTATTTAAAGGGAAAATTCATTACACTTCCTGGCCTGTATTTTGTGATTTGGTAACTAAATTTAAATAGGGAATGCCAGTCTCTTACTCTTATATACAAAATAAAAATTATGTAAGGTCTTAATCACCTCCTGAAAAGTGAGCGAATGTAGTTAGTTATGAGCACCCTCAGATATGATATGCAATATATATTATTGCACTATGGAAGTGCAGGGAATGGCTGATCCAATTGATAAAAATTTGTCTGATATTTCAGTTTCTTGACCTTCGTGTCTCTGTGCTTGGAAATGCAGATGCTGGAAAATCTACACTTCTTGGTGTATTGACTCAAGGTCAACTTGATAATGGACGTGGAGAAGCAAGACTGAATTTATTTCGACATCTCCATGAAATTCAAACTGGAAGGACATCTTGCATTAGCCATGAGATCCTTGGCTTTAGCAGCAAAGGAGAGGTGGACTTTCTGCTCTTATCGTTTTTTTTTTGCCTGTAAAATTATGGGCACTCAAGAAGTGTGTGTACCAATATGGAGGTAACTAATTTTGTTCGCCTACTTCACATCAAGTCGTGTAAAGGGATTGAAACCTATATGGGGTATGGTATACTCACTTGGCTAACACAGACCTCGCCTGAACCTTCCCTGTAGCAGTAATAGAACTAAAATAAGGAAAATCTGAATAAAATTATGTCCTAATAACCCTAACCTGGTACACACACTACAGGATTACCAAATTATATAGAAATGTTTGTATACCATGACAATATACCAGGATTAAATTTTACAAGCTATTCATCTTAAAAGAGTAGGAATTTGATTTGTCAAGTTGGTAATATAGGTAAAGTTTTAGAAATGCTTGTGATTAAAGACTTGATTGTGTGTGATCCCGCGGCTGAACAAGTTCTTTAAACTACTCTCTGCCTTCTAACAGCCAAATAATAATTCTGCGCATTACTATTGAGCTAACAAATGATATATGAATAATCTTTTTATTATAAGCATTTCGAATGTGCTTTTTATTAAGTATCCTGAAATTGAAAGAATACAGTAAGGTGATTTTCTTAGAGTTATATTACCATAATCTATCAATTTCTATTTTTCAGGTAATCATTTCAATGAATCTAGAACTGCCGAAGACATTTGTGAAAATGCTTCAAAAATCGTTACCTTCATTGATTTAGCTGGACATCACAAGTACCTTAGAACCACTGTGTTTGGTTTGACATCTCATTTTCCAGATTTTGCCATGCTGGTCATCAGTGCAAATCGAGGAATAGGTATGTGCAATGTACCATTGATGTTATTGTTGGTTGGCATTTTCAAATTGTGATTCTGAGGCTACTTTTGGAAAATGAATCGACATATTATGTGTTGAATAGTCAACGTTGTAAAAAACACTTCCGACCAATATCTAACTTTTCTCAGTCGCAATCTCTGAATATACACTTGACTATCTTTACACATACCCTCATTGGCAATATATTACCTAAACCTTAAGTTCTCCATAATCAAAAATATTGTTTCAGAGTATATTTGAAATATACTGGTAATATAAAATATGCATGATGGTTGTTTTTCTCAAAAATATAAATGCTGGTTTCATATTGAAATGACTCGTAGTGCCATTTCAATATAAAATTATGATTTGTTTGTTACATACAGTTGGAACAACACGAGAACATTTAGGATTTGCATTAGCGCTTGGTGTTCCTACATTTGCCGTTGTTACAAAAACTGATCTATGCCCTCCATTTGTTGTCGATCGAGCTTGCAAACAACTAGAAAGATTACTGACCTCACCGGGAAGCGGAAAAATACCTTTTCAGGTGAATACTGAAGATGATGCCTACACTGTTGCACAGAATATGATTGGAGACAAGTAAGTTGACATGAATCATGCTGCTCATGCATTCGAATTTGGTGATATTCGTTTTAGTAAATGTATGATTATAGAGTATATTATCTGATTATTCATCATTATAAGCATTGGATATCTGAGGATTAGACATAAAAAAAAGCGCTCCAGAAGTGTGTGTACCAATATGGAGGTAACTAATATTGTTCGCCTACTTTACATCAAGTTGTGTGAAGGGACAGAAGTCTATGGGCAGGGATAATATTCATTTGGCTAACACATACAGTCCCCTAACTTTTAATAGAACTAAAGTGAGGAAAATCGGAGTAAAATTATGGCCTAACCCTAACCTGGTACACACACTATGGGAGTACCAAAAACACTGCATCAAACTTGTGACATTTTTGGCAATAGAAGATCAACTAAAAAAACTTTTAGTCCAAATACAAAAATATTATGTTAGAACATATTCAGAATAGTGAAATATTTGATTTTGGTGATCCCTGCTGCCAGGAATCACGCAATATAACCTGGAATTGTACTTTCGTCGTCGTCTTTGAGACATGGGCCAGCTCGGCGGCAACGAAATCAAGCGAATCAGATTATGTCAAAATAACTCACCCACGCGTCACACTCAAACATTTATTATTGTTTCCTATATGCCTAACCATGGCAGAACATTGTAGAATTATGTGCGTTGTTTTACTCTTTCCAGATCCAAAGTTGTTCCAATATTTCGAGTTTCAAGTGTAAGTGGAGACGGACTTGAGCTTCTAAAAAGGTTTTTGAATGTTTTGCCACCACAGAAAAATGCTAGAGAACAAGCTAAATTGATGGAAAAACCTACAGAGTTTCAGGTATTTATTTATTACTTGATTTCAAGTATTTTTAGCATCATTCACATTATAAAATGCCATTACATGGACAAGTAAAATAGATTTCTTCTTGTAACTGGTCTCAAAGGATTTCTAGCCATAAAATCCCTGGTCAGGCCACAGTCTGTCATTCGTAAATCATTCCAACAGTTGCCCAAGTAGAGTATCTTGGCTATCCCATTTATATCTACTATGGAGATATATGAGATTATATTGTTCTTATATTTTTACTCATGAGAGTAAGGTGACAAGGTTGTGGTGAACCATCACCTCTTTTCCGGATACCCGCTAGTCTGTGAGGCCAAGGGGATCGACACTGATTTTGCCTAAACCATCTTCTATTGGAATTAAGTCTATAAATTTGGCAGGGTAATGACCAGTGCAAAATTTTGAAATGCAAGGCGGTGTAGACAATTGTGAATCATTTTGTTACTACCTACCATCTATCTGTAATTGACAGATGTTTCACATATGCACTGCATTGTTTCATCTCACCATTATATTTAGGTTGACCAGTTTTTCTCTGTGCCTGATGTTGGTCCAGTTGTGGCTGGGTCAATGCTTCGAGGCACCATAAAGGAGGATGAAGAACTATTGATGGGTCCTACTACAACAGGAAAGTTCAAACCTGTTACGATAACATCTATACGAAGGAATCGTGCTCCATGTAGGGTTGCCAAAGCAGGTCAAGGTGCTTCATTATCACTCGATGGCATGACAAAAGACAGCATCAGAAAGGTACTTGTCACTTTAAAATTTATCAGTTGTATTGGGACATTGCTGATTATTTCGAAATACAGGATGAATAGTTGTTTATTATGAACCAATAGTTACAATAAGGACAGACCAAAATTGAATATTCTGCTGTTCCGAATACATTTTAAAATGATATTGTTTAGAGTAGTACCGGTATATTAAATATATTCATGTCTAACAAAGTTCATATCCCATGAGTTCAAATATTTTAATGCAGAATGGTTAGGATAAACCATGATTTGTTGACTTTCTGTTATTACAGTTTCCTTTTTTGCTCATACTCTTGAGACTTCAATTTCTCAAAATGATAATTTTTCAAATAAAACTAATCTAAATCAATCCTATAATCTAGAATTTGAATATTAAATATAATTATTTTTGAATCAATATAAATATTTAATTTACTTTGGACATTGTCAAGTTCATTGGGATTGAATTTGGTTTTTAATTCTATTTCTTATGATTTTTATTTCTTTAAATATTGTTTTCCATCTCTTTGATATCTGTGTAGCCTGTACATATTTAAAAAAAACATTTTCTCACAGGGTATGGTCATTATCAGTTCTGATGTTGAACCTCGTTGTTATGCTGCGTTTGATGCCACTGTTTGCCTATTATATCATCCCATGTCTCAACTACAGAAGGGTTTTCAAACCACTGTGCATGTAGGAAGTGTCTGCAGAACTGCCATCATCGAAACTATTCATAACGATAAGGTATGGTCTAATGTAAATACTCTAAATGTTGTGGTTCATTCCTTCACATGCAAAGATATTGAAATTTCAAATTATACACACAATAAAATTATTATATTATAATGTTGTTGTGGTCCCATTGTTCTAAGTGTTAGAAGCAGACTGTCACATGGCTGATGGCCAAAACTGTATAATTTACTATTCTGAGTAGACTTCAATTACTCATAATATTTCATACTGAAATCAATAATTCGAAAAATCTATTTGGTTTGTTTTGGACATCACTGGTTTCAAATATATTATATTGAAGTGTTTATCTGAGCAAATGTAACAGATGGTCGAAAGACCATTGTCCACAGTATCTTTTCTATCTGTAAAAGACCTATACTTTAACTGAACAATAGTTCATGATGACAAACTATATGGTGCCTTTCTGGACAATTGAAAATAAATTTAAGAGTATCGTTTCTTGATTATATCATTTCCTGGAAAGTGGAAACGCTTAGCAAATATAAAAAAAATAAAACAACTGGTACTTTATTTGTAGGAATCAATAAGCACCAATGAACAAGCTACAGTTACCTTCAGATTCTTTTCTGCACCTGAATATCTGAGAATAGGTTCAACTTTAATCTTCCGTGAGCAGGCAACAAAAGGTATTGGCCAAATTACCAAGCTCCACTCATATGATTCGGAGCAGCCGAATTTAGCTGTATTTCGCCGAAAGTCAATGTCAGTCTCCCCACCTGCGTCACCTCGCCATCTGTACTCTGGCATCTCTGGGGCTATGCTTTTATCCCCAGGATGTCAAGCTTCTCTCATGTAACACCGAGCTTGATTAAGCATGGGAGTGTAATTGAATTGTTTTAACTACATCTCTTGCTTAATCAGGAGTTGTGACGCGATAAACTTTCAAAATTGACTGTCATACTATTGAAATTATCTATCTTAGCTTATTTAGAACCTTTTGCTGTGTGATTTCTATAGACTTTTAAATGCTTTTATTATTACTATCAAGATATTCTATATGATAATGTTCGAGTTTGTTTGCAACTTTTAGTGTATATTTATTTAATGTGGTGTGTTGTATTATAAATAGCGGTATTCTGTATAGCTTCTGTTTTGTGGCCTTACTGCACTAATAATATGTACTCATTGTAATTATTTGAAGGTCAAATTTATTTTTATACTCTGATTTGGTTGAAGTATATTTGTTATATATATACATGTTGATTGGCATTGTACCAATTGGTTTTAAGAAATTAGACATGAATTATATCGAAATATGTAGTATAAATTCAAACTTGTAGAATGATTTTCTCTTGGCCTAAAATAAACTATGGTAAGATTTTTGAGTAAAAATTAGAGAAATTTCGATTTGGATAGTTGAGTTCAATTTGTTTTAAAATCTTAAAATGGAGCTCATCTAAAATATTGAATTTGCATGCAATAACCAGATTGTTTATGGTTTCCATATAAATCAAACATCTTATCGCATGTCTCTGGATAGATATTACATTTTGTGGTAAAGGATTAAATGTATCTTGAATGGAATTTTTTTCATTTGAGAGCAGCTAAACATAGAAGGATAGATGAATGTATGTTGGATGTGTGACTCTTTTTATAGTTGTAAATTTGCTTTCAGCACGCTAGTTTTTTTTTTCACAGCCACACATGCACTTGCTTTACTGCCGCTTTGTATATAAGCATATATTTTTGTGTATTTTCATTGTAAAAATAATGTAAAATTAAGGTGTATTCTTAGTATGAACGAAGAGTAGGATTGATTGAATTGCGTGATTGGGAAGCAAAACTTCTTTATCATATTTGAGCAACATTTTGTGAATAAAGATGACCGGAAACAAAGTGGGCCCTTTGGTTTTCCATTGACCAACCTTTCTTTTACTGAGTAGTGAGTAGTACAGGTTTATGAATTTTTGTAAGATGAGATGTTGTGAATAATTAATGTACTAGGCCTACCTGACATTTAGTTGAATTCGTTTGTTTTTCATAGATCAATTACAAGCAACAGTTGATTTTTCATGTGCATGTTTATAGTACCACTTGTGAGGTATTTCATGACATTCGTTCTAAATTTGATTCAATTGTATTTTTCGAATAAATTACACTAAATTCAAGAAAAAAGTGTTGTTTTTGCTATTTCAAAGAATGGAGTCTGTAGGAAAACCATATTAATGCTGGAACCATTTATTTCCTCACATAGCCAAATATTCTATTATACAGTGGTGTGTTTTAAAAAAGTTAAGCCAGGTCATCCAGTCCCCACAGTTAAGTTTGAATTTGCCAAGAAGTGTATCAAAATTTGAACTAAACATAAGCGTACAACAAGAAGATGCAAGCGCCTCGGAGCCAGAAAAATTGTTGAGAGTAGGGATGACCAGAATCCCAGAACCGAATATTTCACTAATCTGAAACTGAGAAAATATTTTTGAATATGGAATATCAAATACATTTAAAATTGGGGAGAAGGTTCATGTGAGGCATTACACAAATCACTACACCTTCATGCTGATCATTGTTTTCTCTGTTGTTTGTTACTGGTTGAGATATTGTACATTTAGATCTGTTTGTCGGATGGCTTAAAATCCCCAATTTTTTTAATAAGAATGTTCTTAATTATCCCTAAGTACAAAAACTTACTACTGGTATATCGAATATGATGAATTTGAATATTCAATTTCATTTTGGAAATCCCTGGTCAACCAATATGGACTTCAGCTCCAAGAATAAGCGAAAAAAACTCAAGAGGTGTAATCTCACAAGAAGACTCGTAAATCTAGATCAATACAAGATTTCATAACTATTTTTTATTGCATAATATTGTATATAAACAACTGCAGTTTGGGTGCAAAAACATCACTAAAGTGATAAACAATAAACTAAGTTTCCAATAATCTATGCATTGTTTGTAAAAAATCAGCCTCAAATTGGCCCTCACTAAATCTTTCACAAGCTTCTCTCGCTTTCATTGCCACCCTTGTCTTTTCTTCTGGTGAAAGATTGAATATGTTTTCAATTGCTTTCGCGTATTCTTCCACAGTTTCAGCAAGAAATCCGGTCTTCTGATTTCTTTCTCCTACAACAATATCCATTTTTGGTCCGCCTGAATTGTGAGCTAAAGCTATAACTCCAGCTGCCTGAAATTCAACAACACCAATTCCGAAATGTTCATTCGTCATAGTATGTATGCCGATTTGTGATGAAGATAATAATTCTTTGAGTTCTGTGAATGATATATTAACTTTGATGCAGACATTGTCCGAGATTCCCAACTGTTTTGCCAAAGATTTCAACTCTTGAACTCGTTTTTCATCCCCTTGATTACGGCAACCTCCAGCTAACACAAGCTGATACTCCTGCCGTGTGCCAACTGGCTTAGTTGATAAAAAGCGAGCAAAAGATTTTACCTGAAGAGCTTGATTTTTTTCAGGTCGAAATTGACTTATTGACAATATTATTTTGTTTTTGGAAGACCGTTGCAGTGGAATTTCCAAGAAAGCTTTTATATCGCAAGGAGGAAATATTTTATCAATAGGGCGATCGTCTTTTGCACCCCACAATACTTCAATATGACCTTTCGTCCAGCTCGAATTCACCATGACCACATCTGAGCGAGCACCAGCACATCCATAGCACCATGCAAAGAACCAGTAATACATCAATTTGAAATTGGTCAAAACTGCACTTTTGGCTATTATAGCCCGGTTGTTGAAAGAGCCAGTTCTGTCTGAAACCAAACTTAGCATATCTGTGCTTATTGTTGGGTAGTGGACATAGCATCCTACTTTGCAACCCGCTATTGTTTTAAAAATGAAATATGAAAATGGATATCCCATACTGTCAATAAATACATCAGGTATATATGAATTGATTGCTTCATAAGCAAGAAGCATAGAACCCAGGCTTTGACCCATTAGTGTGAAAACGGGATAATGTATTGCTTCAACCCAAGATCTTTTATGAAGAAATATAAAGTCAACTTTTTTGGGCAGGACAATGTTAAACTTTTCTTTAGCATGTGATAAAATATCTTCAGGAGATGCATCATAGTCACCAGTATAAATGATGCAACGAATATCTGGGTACTTTATTTGTAAAGCTCTCACAGCACACCAAAGTACTCGTTCACCACCTCCACCAGCATTGCAATATGGATGGAAAAATCCAATTGTGATCTTATCCATGGATTGGGCGGATTGCTTCCTTTTCTTCAATCTTGTATAAAACTTCAATAAATAGATGCCGAAAAGGAATATTATGCAGGAAGTTGCTGCAATAATCAAACTGATAGTTGACATCATGACAAGCAAGTTTACCAAATGCATAATTAACTTTGTAGAATAAGGTTATTTACAATTACAATCTGAAGCAAAAATACCTTTAAATAAAAAATGACTCCGAAGAATTGAACTTTAATTAGAGGGTATAACGATTGAATTGAAATAATGTTAACAGGATGGTATAACATAACAGTATAAAGTTGGGTGCATTTAAACTATTCAAAAAGGAACAGTAAACTACCGGTTCAGCAGAAAATAATAACATGCATCATTATTAGTCATATGTTAACATTTAAAGTAAACTCATTTGGACAATGGCCTTATTATTGGGATACAGGTAACACAAAATTTGTATGAACAGTGCTTGATTTGAACAGTTTGATTTTACATGTCAACAATTGCAAAAAACTAGCTATAGGCTATCTTTCTTGTCGGCTGCTGGATTACAGCAACAAAGCTGAATTTATGCCAATTCATACAAAATCTACATGGGTGATAATATTTTCTACATTGTCTGAGGAACCCTGTGTAACATTCAACAGCTTCAAAGGTTTTGAATCAGTTTGATTTACTATTTGACACTCTAATGCGAAGAGGACATATTATATTGTTATGTTTGTTTGGCACATAGAGCAACAATTGTAAATCTAGCTTCATCTGGGTCCCGTGCCATAAACTTCAGACAAACTCCAGCAGCACAATGAACGAAATCACTTTCTTCATTACATTTACCATGATCAATAGGGAAAGGTTTTCTGCCATCAAACTCATAAATTGTGGTACCAACACGAACAATTGCAACAAAATGCAAATTTACTTCCTCATCTGCACTGATTTCTCTTGACTGTCCCTCGCTTGCACTCTTCTGATGAGCTTTACACATATCCTCATTGCTTTCAAGGAGTTTTCCCTTTTCTTCCGGACTTAGATTACTGGAAGCGTCTAACAATGATTTCAGAATAGATCCTTCTTTGACAAAATCTTCCCTGTATTGATTGTTTCCAAAACTGTGAAGCAAACCGATAGTTCCACAAGCATTTCCTATAGTTTGCTTCATAAAGTATACCGATACACTTGAGTTCTGTAAGTCTTTCTGTTTCTCTTTTTCTTCTTTGCAAAAAATCTCATATTTTTCGGTTATCGGAAAAAGTAATATGAAAGCACAACAAGGTTGCGGAAGATATAACAGTGAATCGCGATCTAATCCATAAACGTCAACAAATTCCCAGTCCGGCGAAAGGCCAATTTCTTTCGAATAGCTATTCATTACATCCGGGTTGGCCTCTAATGGCTTCCATCGTAATTTCGACATCTTCAGAGAACAATTGAGGTCTGGTCAAACCTCGCAGCAGAAACAATACAATCTACAGATCTAAGCCGTTTACGTTGGAAGAGATGCAGTACGAAAACGACGTGTGAAATGTCCAAAGTTTCCCCTGTCTGTCGGGGGGTAAAGGTCGTCTAATACTTTTTTGTTTTTATAGGCCGCTAGCCGAGGCCATTTATCTTTCAGTTTCGTAGCGCACATGAGGAAACTACCTGAAAATGATTTTAAAATGTTCCTTAGAAATTTAGTAACAAATATTGCCTTGTTCCCACTTCCAAAAGTTGCACGTTTTACAGAAAAGACGCTTTTACTACAATAAATATGTGTGATCATCTGTCCTATTTTCTCTGCTTTTCCGGTATCATGGGCCAATGAACGCAGACTTCTGCATGACGTAACAAACAAATTAGTCAGCTGTAGGTGGTTCCCAGTGGTCGGATGAATATCAGATGTACTAATACTGCTCGCTTTTGCGTTGAGTAGCCTTTCCATAGTTTTTTACCACTGTGAATTCAGCGGAATTTCAGCGGGAAAATATTCTGCAGTTTTCAACCGGTTCCCATGCGGAAAATAATCTCTTATTACAATATTTATAAGGGATAAATGGATCCTATTTGGAATAATAGTTCCGAAGGAAGACCAAAATATAAGTTTAAGCACATTTAGCTGGGAGTGGTAATTACAGCATACATAACTGTATCACATAAAACAGAAAAACTAAAACGTATTAGAAAATATTTGCAGAATGAAAAAAAATACAAATTAAAAATAGGTTACTTCTGATGGGAACACAAAAATATTGGAAAATATTTTTTTCAATGTTACATGCAAACTCTAGGGTTTGAGACCAAATGCGAATATGATCCGCAAAGTTCCGACAATTTTTAACAGTAATTTTGAATAGTACCAATAGTGATAAGTATTATATATAAAAGTTGAAGGGAACAAAGCGGGACTTTGTGATTTATGGGGTTTCAAATACAGGCGAAAAACAAGATTTTCTGAAATTTGATGCGTACTCGGTATATCGAGGCCGAATTCGGATATGTTGCTTTATATGCCGACAGCTTTTGCGACGATTTCGATCACATGTACAAGTCAAGTGTCTAACACCAAAGTATGATTAACAGCGGAATAAAACTTAGAAAAATATGGTCCTTCAAAAATTGACAAAAAATCAGATTTTGCTATATTTCGTACGAACTCAATGATTCGATGCCGAATTCGAATATAATCCGCAAAGTGCCGACAACTTTTAACAGTAATTTTGAAAAGTACCAATAGTGACAAGTATTATATATAAAAGTTGAAGGGAACAAAGCGGGACTTTATGATTATTGGGGCTTCAAATACAGGCTAAATACAAGTTTTGCTAAAATTTGATCCGTACTCGAAATATCGATGCCGAATTCGAATATGATCCGCAAAGTGCCGACAACTTTTAACAGTAATTTTGAATAGTACCAATAGTGAAAAGTATTATAAATAAAAGTTGAAGGGAACAAAGCGGGACTTTATGATTTATGGGGCTTCAAATACCGGCCAAAAACGAGATTTTTCGAAATTTGATGCGAACTCGATACATCGAGGCCAAATTCGAACATGTTGCTTTATTTGCCGACAACTTTTGACAACGATTTCGATGGCATGTACAAGTCAAGTGTCTAACACCAAAGTATGATCAACAGCGGAACAAAACTTAAAAAAATATGTAACTTCAAAAATTGACAAAAAATCAGAATTTGCTATATTTCGTGCGAACTTAATAATTCGATGAAGAATTCGAATATGATCCGTAATATGCCGGCAACTTTCAACAGTAATTTTGAATAGTATCAATAGTGAAAAGTATTATATATAAAAATTGAAGGGAACAAAGTGGGACTTCATCATTTATGGGGCTTCAAATACAGGCCAAAAACAAGATTTTATGAAATTTGATGCGAACTCGATACATCGAGGCCAAATTCGAACATGTTGCTTTATTTGCCGACAATTTTTGACAACGATTCCGATAACATGTACAAGTCAAGTAACTAACATTAAAGTATGATCAACAGCGGAACAAAACTTAACAAAATATGGCCTTTCAAAAATTGACAAATTATCAGAGTTTGCTAAATTTCGAGCGAACTCAATGATTCGATGCCGAATTCGATAGTGATCCGCAAAGTGCCGACAATTTTTAACAGTAATTTTAAATAGTACCAATAGTGAAAAGTATTATATATAAAAGTTGAAGAGAACAAAGCGGGACTTTATGATTTATGGGGCTTCAAATACCGGCCAAAAACAAGATTTTTCGAAATTTGATGCGTACTC